CAAGAGAATTGTGCAGGGATGAAACCCAACAGTAGGGTCGGAACATCAGGTCTCTTTGATAGGGRGAGAATGGTATCCCTGGACACCTCCTTCCAGCTTTCATCTGAGCTTAGGGGCACTCTTCACCCTAACCCAGCGTTTCTCAACCTTCCTAATGCTGCAACCCCTTAATACAGTTCCTCATGTTGTGGGAACCCCAACCATAAAATCATTGTTGTTGCTACTTTCATAACTGTAATTTTGCTACTGTTATGAATCGTAATGTAAATACCTGATATGCAGGATGTATTTTCATTCACTACGCCAAATTTGGCACAACTACTCAATACAAATTTGAATACTGGTGGGGTTGGGGGGGGGGAGTGTTTTGTCATTTGGGAGTTGTAGTTGCTGGGATTTAATTCACCTATAATCAAAGAGTATTCTGAACTCCACCAATGATGGAATTGAACCAAACTTGGCACACAGAACTCCCATGACCTACAGAAAATACTAGAAGGGTTTGGTGGGCATTGACCTTGAGTTTTGGAGTTGTAGTTCACCTACTACCAGAGAGCACTGTGGACTCAAACAATGGGCCAAACTTGGCATGAATACTCTATATTCCCGAATGTGAACACTGGCGGATTTTGGGGAAAATAGACCTTGACATTTGAGAATTGTAGTTGCTGGGATTTATAGTTCACCTTCAATCAAAGTGCATTTTGAACCCCAAACCACACAGAACCCCCATGACCAACAGAAAATACTGTGTTTTCTGATGGTCTTTGGTGACCCCTCTAACACCCCCTCATGACCTCCCCAGGGGTCCTGACCCCAGGTTGAGAAACGCTGCCCTAACCTAAAGATATTGAATATGTGAGCCATCCCTACCACAATAGGCAGCTTCTTTGTGAGGTTTGATCATGAATGGCCAAAGATCTATTTACTTTATGAGAAATCCTTTTTCTAGTGAAATTTAAAACTGCAAGAATTGCTCCGTTAGTATGGGTCAGTGCAGCTGTCTGCATTTCTATCACTCTTGACAGGAATGTGGCTTTAGGGGCTGTCAAATGAATACCTGGACTGCAAACTTTTACAGGCTAATAAGAGCCTTTCGTGGGCACAGCAATAGCAACAAACCATATAGTGACGGAAGTAGGACACGTCTTTCTTCCTTCTTTCCACCCATCATATACATTTATGTCCCAGCTTTCTTCCAACGAACTCACAATATCTTCTATGGCTCCACTCTTTCCCACTTTGTCCCTTGTATAACCTATGCCAGTGGAAAATCAAAATGTCTTTCTTTATTCCTCAGTCACATACGTCACTCAAAAGATTGACGTTTAAAATCATAAAATCATATTTTTATTGAATGCAAAATTACATAATATTTGAACATATAATAAATGTCTAGTATAGGCTTGCAGTGAATTAAAATATTTCTATATTATCTATTCACATTATTTACAGGTTCGTTCACATTACATTTTTAATTTTCCCTCTCACCTCCCTTCACTACCCTTTCCGCCACATTTCCCTCTATATCTTTATCTTTAACCATGAACACAACCTTCTTAAGAGAACCGTAGAATCATAGACTTGGAAGAGACATCGTGAGCCATCCAGTCCAACTCCCTGCCAAGAAGCAGGAAAACCACATTCAAAGCACTCCTGACAGATGGCCATCCAGCCTCTGTTTAAAAGCCTTCAAAGAAAATATTCTGGTGTGGGTGAAAATTCAACTCAAGTACAGATGGACACTTGCTAACATTTCAGATATTTTGTATTTAAATTGTCAAACACCTTCAACTCAGCCCCCAAAGAAAACTGGAAAAATGTTTTCTTGAGAGGTGAGCATCAGAAAAAAGGAGGTATTAAATGGGGATACGTACAATGGTAAATTGTAGAGTGGTGTTTCTCAACCTTCCTAATGCTGGACCCCTTAATACAGTTCCTCATGTGGTGACCCCCAACCATAAAAATATTTTCATTGATACTTCATGACTGTAATTTTGCTACTGTTATCAATCATAATGTAAATATCTGATATGCAGGAAGTCTTTTCATTCACTGTCTAAATTTGAATACTGGTGAGGTTGGAGGGGGGGATTGATTTTGTCATTTGCGATTGTAGTTGCTGGGATTTATAATTCATCTATAATCAAAGAGCATTCTGAACCCCACCAATGATGGAATTGAACCAAACTTGGCACACAGATCTCCCATGAGCAACAGAAAATACTGGAAGGGTTTGATGGGCATTGACCTTGACATTTGGGAGTTGTAGTTGCTGGGATTTATAGCTCACCTACAATTAAAGAACATTTTGAACCCCACCAATGACAGAATTGGGCCAAACTTCCCACACAGAACCCCCATGCGTTGAAGGGACTAGCTGGCACAAACCTCACTCCAGCCTTGCACGCTGTCCCTCATCCGCACATGCACACCACACTCCCATGCGCCGAGCATGCCTGTCCTCCCCTCCCCAGAGAGGCTGGCTAATCACAGCGGAGGAGGGTTTTTGGTGGGAGGATTTGCTGTCTGTTTCCAAAAATTTAGAGAAGGGCAGGTGGAGAGATCCTCAGACTTCTCTGCCAAAGGGGTTCCAAAGACCATGGTTTTTGGCGATCCCTCTGAAACCCCCTGGTGACCCCCCAGGGGTCCCAACCCCCAGGTTGAGAAAAACTGTTGTAGAGAGTTGTGTGTGTGTGTGTGTGTAATCATTTTTAAAAAGAAGGTCCATAGTCTGATGCTGACACGCCTCTGTGCTTCTCTAAACATGCTGTGTATATTGATTTTCAGTGTTGGCCTCACCCTTTTCTCTCTCACACACAAATACGCACTGAGCACAGGGGTACAATATGTCCCAAATGAAGCACCCATTGATTCTAGTGTAGGAGCATTATCATCTCCCACTAAAAACAGTAGTTCCAGAATCCAGTGCTGCAATCTGGAACATATTTGGGAATAATACCATAGAGAATACAGTGTATGTGTGCGCGCCTGAGCCTCTGCTTTATCTCAAACTAAGCATGGCACAGAATTGTGAAAATCCCTTAACTTTGGCTTGGTTTCTCTCGCAGAGCGAGTCTTGAACCTAGTGGGCCTCCTGCCAGCCGAATTGGACTGCAATGTCAGGCTGTACTCGCTCCGGGGGATTATTGCAATGCTAGGGAACAAGCGCTTGCAGCCGGCTGCAACGCCAGGGAACATCCTAGGAACATGTGAAATCGAACATAGGCAACAGTGCAACTGCATGAGCACAGAGTACAATTCCCATTGAGGGAATAATGATACATTTCAGGCTTTAAGCAATGGCAATCCAGATCATGCATGGCAGTTTGCTCTTATTCGAGCATCAACATCTCTGATAGACAGTTGTCCATGGAGCCCAGATGAAAAGAGCCCTCCATGTTGTGAGGGAGTCGGTTCCACTGTCAAATGATGTGTACCATCAAGATATTTCCTCTAATGTTTATCCACAAATCCTTTTCTTGCATGTTCATGTTTCATGTCATCCTTCCTTCTGATATTTGAAGACTAGCATCTCAATCTTCCTTAGCCTCCCTTTGCTATGTTAAAGATACCCATCTATAGACAGATACAAAAAAAAAAAAATAGAGATATTTTGCAGCCTGGGGTCTTGCATCAAATGCCATGCTCAAAAAAGTGAAAAATTTACATTTTGCTATTGATTTTGCCCAAAGCAATGGCTTCATTCTGCCCAGTTAGGATTGGCAGAATTTAGAAAATATTCACAGGATTCAAAAAGGCAAAATGTTGGTTTCAGGAGCTTCCAAAGCAGTATTTCTCAACCTGGGGTGGCAGCCTCCCATCCAAATACTAATCAAATCTGACTCTGCATTGCTTCTAGATTCAGACGGGATATAATGCCTTTAGGATATTTATGGCACCCCATCATCATCATCATCATCATCAACAACAACAACAACATACCTGCCTTTCTCTATAGATGGAGGTTGGAAACAACAACAAATCAAATGCATAACAGTTTAACAGGTTGGGACCCTTGGGGGGGGGAGGTCATGAGGGATGTCAGAGGGGTCGCCAAACACAGTAGTTTTTGTTGGTCATGGGAGTTCTGTGTGGAAGTTTGGGCCAATTCTATCTTTGGTGGGGTTCAGAATGCTCTTTCATTGTAGGTGAACTATACATCCCAGCAACTGCAACTCCAAATGTCAAGGGCTATTTTTCCCTAAACTCCACCAGTGTTCATATTTGAAGATATTGAGTGTTCGTGCCAAGTTTGGTCCAGATCCATCATCGTTTGAGTCCACAGTGCTCTCTGGATGTAGGTGAACTACAACTCCAAAACTCAAGGTCAATGCCCACCAAACCCTTCCAGTATTTTGTGTTGGTCATGAGAGTTCTGTGTGCCAAGACTGATTCAATTCCATCATTGGTGGAGTTCAGAATGCTCTTTGATTGTTGATGAACTATAAATCCCAGCAAGTACAACTTCCAAATGACAAAATCAATCTTTCCTCCAAACCCACCAGTATTTTAATTTGGGCGTATTGGGTATTTTTGCCAAATTTGGTCCAGTGAATGAAAATACATCCTGCATATCAGATATTTACATTGCGATTCCAAACAGTAGCAACATTATAGTTGTGAAGTAGCAACGAAAATAGTTTTATGGCTGTGAGTCACCACAACATGAGGAACTGTATTAAGGGGTTGCGGCATTAGGTTGAGAACCACTGTTCCAAAGGGTGACGTCTAATGCTTCGCAAGCCATGTATCAAAAATGCCAGGCAGGTGCCAAGGAAATAGCGGTAGCCTTTGGCTTTTGTCGGCGACTATTTGTTAGCAGGTAGTGGAGCAGGTTGGTTAGTGGAGACCAATTGTGGATGCAGGCTGGGAGCAGTGGAGCACAGAAACTTTGCAAGGCCCGGGGCCAGAGAGAGAGAGTGAGGGAGTGCAGCAGCGCAAGAGAGAGAAGTGATTATTTATAGTTGGCAGGAGCGGGGAGAGGACAAGGGAGGGAGGGGGAAAGAGAGGGAGGGATGAAATGGTAAAGAGGATGTCAGAGGGAGGAAGAAATAGAGCGTGAGGAGGAAGCCGGCCCGCTTGCAGGTGCAGGGGGCAGGAATTGGGGTGCCCCCTGTCTGTGCCAGGTGAGACCTTTGGAGAGATTGATGTGTGTGTGTGTGAGAGAGAGAGAGACTGTGGAGAAGTAGGACTTTTTGGGGAGTGGGGATTTGGAACAGTTGGAGCAAAAGTCATGTTTTGGGTATTTACTAGGAGAGTTGCATCCTTCCACAGCTGATGAGTGAGAGAGAGAACCAATGAGTTCTGCTTTCTTGCCATCTCTTCTCCTTTTAACCCTCGCTTTAGGGAAACTAAAGATTGTATTATCGAAGGCTTTGATGGCCAGAATCACTATGTTGTTTTAAGTTTTTCAGGCTGTATGAGCATGTTCCAGAAGCACTCTCTCCTGACATTTCGCCTGCATCTATGGCAAGCATCCTCAGAGGTTGGGAGGCGAAACATCAGGAGAGAATGCTTCTGGAACATAGCCATGCAGCTTGAAAAACTTTCAACAACCCAAACCAAAGATTCCTGTATAACCCCTTCACCCCAAACTATGCCAAGATTTGACAGCTTTAATCCCCAAAGCTGAGAATTAGTAACTGAGAAGAAGTGTGGGGTTTCTTGTGGAGGGCAGGGACACTCAGCTTTGATGGCAGAGATTTTACCAGTCCCTTCAAAGGATGTCATGATCCACAGAGCCTGTTGCCTTTTTCCTATGTAAGTTTCCATCCTGATTCCTTTTCACCGGAGACTAGCAAAGCCAAAAAGCATTGCTCCCAGTTCCCTCCTGCAGTTAAAGACACAACTCAGACAACCACTATGATGCTTCTGTCTCCCAGATTGCAGACCAAAATGTGAAACACCATAATGTGGTGCTTGTTGCCACAACCCTTAGTAATCTGTCCCTTACATCCTGCCATTTTGTTAGCAGCATGCTGAAAAGCAGGACAGCAACATCGGGCGAAAGAAAGAATTCATTTGTTAGAATCAGCTTCGCCAAATGCAAACATGCATCCTATTGAGTTGCTGTGAGTTTTCCTGGTTGTATGCCTTTTTACTTTTAATGTTTTGAGTGTTTGCTAGTAGCAAACATGTTCTAAATATTTGATTTATATATTTAAATGTCTAAGTTTGTTATTTTTGAGTTGTTCTATAAGTACACCTGATGTTGTTTATTTCATTGTTTATGATTTGATTTGTTTGTTATGTTATGCTGGCATTGAATGTTTGCCAATTTACTATTGTAAACCGCCCTGAGTCCCCTTGGGGAGATAGGGCATTATAGAATTAAAGTTTATTATTATTTATTATTATGGCCATGTTCCAGAAGCATGCTCTCCTGACATTTCACATGAATCTATGGCAGGTATCCATAGAGGTCTGTTGGAAACTAGAAAACTAGGTTTATATATCTATGAAATGTCCAGAATGGGAGAAGCAACTCTCATCTGTTTGGGGCAGGTATGAATGTTGCAATTGGCCATCCCAATTAGCATTTAATGGCCTTGCAGTTTCAAGGTCTGGCTGCTTACTGCCCAGAGGAATCCTTTTTTGGGAGGTCATTAGCTGGCCCCGATTGTTTCTTGTCTGTAATTCCTCTGTTTTTGAGTGTTGTTCTTTATTTACCATTTTGATTTTAGGTTTGTTTGTTTTTTTAATACTGGTAGCCAGATTTTGTTCATTTACATTGTTTCCTCCTTTCTATTGAAATTGTCCACATGCTTGTGGATTTCAATGGCTTCTCTGTGTAGTCTGACATGGTAATTGTTAAACTGGTCCAGCATTTCTGTGTTCTCAGTCTGCAGTGCCTTTCATGTTCCTTGATTCTTGTTTGGATGATGCTGCATCTGGTGGTCCCTATGTAGACTTGTCCACAGCTGCATGGTATACGGTAGACTCCTGCAGAGGTGAGAGGATCCCTCTTGACCTTTGCTGAATGAAGCATTTGTTAGATTTTCTTAGTGGGTCTGCAGATAGCTTGTAGGTTGTGTTTCTTCATCAGCTTCCCTATGTGGTCAGTGGTTCCCTTGATGTATGGCAAGAACACTTTTCCTCTGGATGGATCTTGTGGCTTGTTTTTGGTCTTGCAGCACTTCTGATGTCTGTGGTGGACTATCCATTGGCCTCTAGAGCCCAGTTTGGGTGTTTCGGTTCACCTTGGAGGAAGTGGGATGAAAGGTGCCAAGACCTAGTTGGAAGAGGAATTCCCTCCTGTGCAAGAGACAGTAGAGGGAAATCCTCTCCTGAAGTGACGCCAGCTCTGGCATGTGCATATAAGTGAAATGCCAGGGAACTATGCCATGGGGGGGGGGGGGGGGGGGGGGGGGGGGGGGGGGGGGGGGGGGAGAGGGTAGAGGAGAGGATTTTTTCTGTATGTTAATGTATGCAGATTTGATGGATTGATCTACGAAAGCTCTCATAGTACATCAACTTGCAGCACAGTCCTGTTCATGCTTACTTACTTGAAAGGATGTCTCAATAGTTGGAAGAAATCTGCTGTTTTCTTGGAGGGAAGTCTCATTTTAAAGACAGAATTGTACTCCTTAATGTGAATGTTTACAATCTCAGCCTTCCTTGAAGAATACCCATTGAAAATTTCTCCGCCACTGGGACGGGAAAGCTGACATTTGGAAAGTGCTCCATATGGACACATTCACTCTAAACTCCATTGGAGTAATATCAGGGCATTGTGTCAAGAGATTTTGTATTTAAGATCAGATAAATAGCAGGATAGAGTACTCTATTCCTTTTTTGCATCCATGATAGGAAGCCAACAGGCTGCAAGAAGAGAGTTTCTCTCCCCTCTGGGTCCAACAACCCCACCAGAATTTAATAGTACATTTTACTGGCTACTAACCTACTAAGCTTTAGAAAGAAAACTTAAGTTGGAAGATGAATATTAGAAATATGGCAAACAGAGAAAATAATGTTATAAAGAGCTGGAACTTAGGAAGGCATGATTTTGCTATCCATCATAAATCCTTACATTCAGTGTGAATTATGTGTTTAGTAAAAGCCAATTCATAGGACTGTTGTGGATGTACATGGAAGATGGGTTTTGCTACATGTAATTACTTGGTTCTGTGCATTTGTGGGCAAATACCCACAGAACATGTTTAAAAAACTGTTTTTGTTGAAAGCTGCTTTATGTTGTACATAAAGTTGCCACTTTATTGCCACTGACTGAGATCAGAAAGGTGATGAAGCCAATTCTTAATCTAAACTTTTAAAGGAGCTGTCAAAGGTGCTGAATCCATTTTGGGTTGTGGTTCAGCTCTTTAGATAGTTCCTTTGAAGTTCAAACTAAAATGCGGAGATGATTCACTATCCCATTTAGATGAAGGCTAGCAGCTGCCACTGGCGGATCGAGAGTGGATCAGCTTGATGCAAAGTTGAGGGAGGTAGGTCTACTTTGTGTAGTAGAACGCATTGAGGCACTCCAAGCAGAAATATGCTCTTAATTTTAATCCCAAACTGTCTTCATTTTGGCAGTACAATCTAGCACCAAAATGGAGGATGGAATTCTTTTTTTTCTTTTTTTTTTTTGCTCATACTGATAAGAAATCCTTCATGGTCAATCTACTGCACATTACCCAGAGATCTAACTTTTGGACAGATCCTAAACTGTCACCTACCCAACTAGGAAGCAGACGGTACTGTTGATGTTGATGTTGATGTTACTATGCACTTTCAAATTGTTTCCAAGCAATGATGGTCCCAAGGCCTGTCAAGTGGTTTTCTTGGGAACATTAGTTCAGAAAAATGACCAAGAGTCAAACTGAAAGTGACACACTATCACTTCTGGTTTGTGGAAAATGGGAAATTGGAGACTACCAGCTGTGTGGGTGTGAGCAAACACTGTCCTGTGCAGTATGATTTCAAGTCATATGGCAATCCTAAGGGAAACCTATCATGGGGATTTCTTGGCAAGGCTTCTTTAGAGGAAGTTTGCCATTATTTCCCCTGAAGCTGCTAGACTGTGACTTGCCCAAGTTCATCCAGTGGACTGAATAGATTAGATTAGAGATAGATAGATAGATAGATAGATAGATAGATAGATAGATAGAGATAGAGATAGATAGATAGATAGATAGATAGATAGATAGATAGATAGATAGAGATAGCTAGATAGCATATAGGCACGTGTGCTGGAATAATTAGTGAGGTTTTATATGTTTATTTTTGCGTTTGATTTAAATTGTTTTAGATAATTTTAATTCTATTGTTAGTAATCACATTTGAGTAATTGCTTTCTGTAACACTTTTAGAAAGTTGCAATAGGAATAGGGGTTCTACAAAGGGCTTCCCTTGAAGACGGCCCGATTAGTCCTTCAATTAGTCCAACGCTCGGCAGTCAGTCTTCTAACTGGGGCTAATTACAGGGAGCGGTCAACCCCCCTGTTTAAGGAGCTCCACTGGCTGCTGTTCATCTTCCGATCTCAATTCAAGGTGCAGGTCATCACCTAGAAAGCACTGAATGGTGTGGGTCCTACCTACCTTTGTGACCGCATCTCCTACCATAAACCTGCATGATCTCTTCAAACCTCTGGAGAGGCCCTTCTCTCACCCCTTCCTCTATTACAAGCTCAACTTGTGGGAATGAGGGAGAGGGCCTTCTCTGCTCTGCCCCCCCCCCCCCCCCCCCGCTTTTGGACCTCACTACCTAGGGAGATCAGGCATGCCCCTACCCTAGCTGCTTTCAAGAAAGATCTAAAAACTTGGCTTTTCCAATTTGCCTTCAGAGAGTGACCACTTAACCCATCTGGTTGTTCCACCTACAGCTGCCCTCAGATTAAAGCACCTTCCCATGTCCCCCTATAAAGGCCAAACTTCATTGCTCCTCCCTTCCAGGCTCCTTCTCTTATAAATGCACTTTTATCCCTATCTTGCCCAGGGTTTTAACCTTTTAACATTTTACCTCATACATCTGGCCCACCCTATGTATTTGATTTTATTATCCTATTTTATATTGTTTATTTTATTTGTTGTTTATATATTTTGTTATGATGTATTTTTTTGTTATTTTGTGTTTAATCATGTTGTATTATTTTGGCCTTGGCCTCATGTTAGCCACCCCGAGTCCCCTTTGGGTAGATGGTGGTGGATTATAAATAAGGATTATTATTATTATTATTGAAAGAATATTCATAATTGCGCTTTCCTAGGTCAAAAAAATGAGTTTCCTGACAGTTGGGGAAACCCACTGAGAGGAACAGCACACTGAAGAGAATTTTGTACATTTTGCAGTGTTTAAATATCGCACAGTATGGTACGGAAATTAATTTGTGGATAACAACTTGAGTTCTTTGGTGTCAAAACCCAAAACCTGTAAGAAAAATGGTTTTCTTGCATAGAACGCATTGTTCTTTGTGCAGAAAATATTTGTGTGTTAAAACTATGTTATGTTTTCTCCTACTACAGATAATTATTCCTCAAGGCTGAGGAAAAATATTGTGGAAGAATATTGAGATTTCTCTTGCTTTGAGCAGAAAACTATCCCTCCATGCAAGAATCAAGGATTGAGGTGTGGATGTGTGGGTGGGAAGGGCCAAAGAGAGGGAGCCCAAGGGATAGATAGATGGAATGTTACAGAGGGAGGGGTGTGTCAGGAATGGATTGAAGGGTGTGCAATTACAGCGGCACAGCTAATGAGGTTTTGTTTTTACTCTGGCTAGTGCCATTAGCAACATACACATGTTCGAATTCCACTATCCATATAGGGCACATTGTTAGTTATAACACAACAGATGCATTCTGTTGACCATGGCAGAGCATAGCTGCACAGCCATTGTGGTTGTGCCTTATGAATTGTGGTTGCGCACAGTGTGTTGTGGTTCTATATTGTCATTGATGTAGGATATTTTACAACATGCAGTCACTGGCATGTTTTTGCACAATGTTGCCATTTTGCATTGTCGTTGTACTAGCATAGCATATCTCCGCATGTGGATATTTTCACTATACTGATGGGATGTTGCAATCTCTCTATGTGTCTGAGAGCAAGTTATATATCTGAGCATGTTATATAGTTGCTGACTATTAGAAAATCAGCATGTCGTCAGCAAGGGATGCTGAAATAGAATTTCACATACCTTTGCAATGATTAAGGCTAAGAACTTTATCAGAAGTTCTTCAGGTTCCCCTTCCATGCGCTTAGGAAACAGAGCCCTTTTGAGGCCATCACATGACCTGAGTGCACTTCGTGTGGGAATGCATCAGGTTCAATTTCCAAAGCGCACTGAACAGTGCCCAAAACACATCTTCAGAAGTTGGGTGTAATTTAATTCCTGAATGAAGAATGTGGGGGAAAGCAGTGCAAAGATGGGCAAGTATGTGGGATGGCTGGCTATCCTTCAAGATGGGAAAAGACAGGAGGGAATGGGTTAAGATAGTTCCCTATGCTTTCCCCGCTTTCCCCCACATTACTCTCCCTCCGTCTGATGAAGTCCTAAAACACGCAGCCAATGCTACTGTAAAGCACAGTGAGGTTATTTCCTACAGAAACATATTTGGGATGTCTCAAACATGCAGAAAGCTGAGCATTGCAAATATATTTATATAGCGTCCACCCAACCATGGTTCTCTTCCTTCCCTTTTATTTTCTCACAGAAATCCACTGAAGCAGATCAAAAAGAAGTTTTAGGCAATGATGACAATTTGAAGTCAGATCTTCCAGACCAAAGTCCTCTCTTTACTGTACCATAATAGATCAAGAGATTTGAAATCCAGTTGTCTGGTCTTGTGGTATGCATTTGAATTCACTTTTCAGAAACAATAGTTACCTATAGGTATGCTTGGGCAAACTAAGCTAGCATTCAGATTTGTGTCACATATTGCACCATTCCATAGCAGCTGAGCAAAAGGCACAAAATCAACAAGGGCGGCCACCAAAGGAGATCTTTACTGGTAGGAACAGCACCTGTTGAACCACTGCCTGTTGCACACTGCTTAAGATGAGCAAAACCCTCCATGAATGCACTACTTACTTTACTTAGGTGATCCCTCGTTGTCCAGGTATGATGTCCTTCCAAGTGTAGAGTCTTAGTGGTGGATACGTAGGTGATTGTCGAGCCCTTTTCTTGACCCGCATGTTCTCCGTACAGTGAAGACATCGGTTTCTAAGTAGAACACAGTCCCAATCAGGGTTGGCTTGACGCACCTTCCTCTTTGCATGTTTCTCCTTTTTGCCCTCCATTTGTGCCTCTTCAAATTCCACAGCACTGCTGGTCATAGCTGACCTCCAGCTTGAGCAGGAATATTTGGAGGCTGGTGGAATTGTTCCAGGAGTTGAATGTGACATCTATAGACAGTCCATGTTTCACAGGCATACAACAAGGTTGGGAGGACAATAGTTTTATAGACAAGCACCTTGGTCTCCCTACAGATGTCCCGATCCTCAAACACTCTCTGCTTTATTCAGAAAAATGCTGCACTTGCAGAGCTCAGGCAGTGTTCTATTTCAGTGTCAATGTTGACTTTTATTCCAGTCCACCAACATTCTGCTTTCTGTTTTTGAGTTGGGAGTAGAATAACTGCTTTGGGAGACGGTGATTGATCATTTGGACAATGTGGCCATGAATATATGAAGAAATAGAAAAGTGTGAAAGAGGATTCCTAGACTGGTAAAGCAAAAAGGTCTCTAATTTTGATTCCCATTAGTCACATGTTGAAAAAGCAAAAACACCTATCAAGAGATATTTTGGTCAGTGTAAGATTAACATTGATTTTCTCTATCCCATGGTTTCTCAACCTCAAGCCCTAGGATTCCTTCAGAGGTCACTAGCAGCTTCTCTAACAATCTGGATTGGTTGGGGAAGCTTTTTTCCCCAAATTTAATTTCTTTTTCCATTTTTGAGCCATAGAGATTTCCTTTTATTTCAAGGTCGCAGGTTCGAATCCGGGGAGCAGCATTAGCTCTCACTGTCAGCCCCAGCTTCTGCCAACATAGCAGTTCAAAAACATGCAATTCTGAATAGATCAATAGGTACTGCTCCGGTGGGAAGGTAACGGTGCTCCATGCAGTCATGCCGGCCACATGACCTTGGAGGTGTTTACGGACAATGCCAGCTCTTTGGCTTAGAAATGGAGATGAGCACCAACCCCCAGAGTCGGACACAATTGGACTTAATGTCAGGGGAAAATCTTTACCTTTACGCTTATAATTTGCAACAAGTCAGAAAAAAATGCATTCCAAGGTGATCAAGTGTGAGAATGTCCAAAGCATGCCTAAGTGCTACACTTTCTCCCTTTTTCTGTCCAGAGTGCTGATTGGGTAACACTGAAAGCCACATTCTTCAATGCAGGAAAGGTGCTGTTGTTGCAGATGCCTAGGGATTCCACTGCATGGGCTTGTGGATTTTTCCGTCAGGTTTATGTGTGAGGAGGGGGAAAATCTCAACTGCATCCTTAATGAGTTAAAGCCAGTGCGCACAGTTGTGGGCAGGGTTTTCAGCTCAGAAGGCGTGACTTCCAGCAGTCCTTTTTTGTGTGCTCTTTTTCAAAAAAAGAAGAAGTGAATTTGAGCATTGTTTAGCCAGCGGGGTGTGAGCTTGGGTGAGCGACAGCGGCTTTAAATTGGTGCGGACAGCGGCTTTGACTGCCCCTAGGTTACGTAGCTAGCTCTGTGCATTGCTAGAGAACGTGATGCACACTCCGTGGTGGTGCGGATGACAGTGAGCACTGCAATTGCTGCTGCTGACAGACCCCCGGCTCTCTGTGGGATGGCAACTGAACCAGTGAGAAAAGGGGATGTGGGGAGAGTTTGTGGATGTGATGTGGGGATAGTGGGAATTGAAAAAGAGGGATGGAGAGGGGATTGTTTGGTTTTGTTCTGATGCATTGCATGGTGATGATGGAGAACAAGGACGGGGGTTGAAGACCAGAGAGAGTTGTGCTCTGATGCTGCAGGCGACAATTAACTCAGCCATGTTAGAGGTGACTGGTCAGTGTTGGAGGTTTTGGTGCATGGTGCACATGGAGGCTAGGAGCTCCATTCTCTCTATCTCTCTCTCTATTTCTGTTTTGAGCCAAGCCTTGGCGTGCTGCCAGCACCTTCAGGGGGCCATGCGCTTGATGGCTGGCTCACGCGCCACTGGATGTCAAGCCCTTCTGCTTTCCAGCGAAAGCAAGTCGATGGACTCTAGAGCAGTGGTTCTCAACCTTCTTAATGCCGTGATCCATTAATACAGTTCCTCATGTTGTGGCTACCCCCAACCATAATATTATTTTCATTGCTACTTCATAACTGTAATTTTGCTACTGTTATGAATCAATATGTAAATATCTGATATACAGGGTATATTTTCATTCACTGGACCAAATTGGGCACAAATACCAGATACAGTCACATTTCAATACTGGTGGGGATGGGGCGGTACTGATTTTGTCATTTGGGAGTTGTAATTGCTGGGATTTATAGTTCACTCACAATCAAAGCATTCTGAACCCCACCACTGATATAATTTGGCCAATCTTACCACCAAGAGTTCCCATTACCAACAGAAACTACTGTGTTTTCTGATGGCCTTTGTTGACCCCTCTGATACCCCCTCATGATCCCCCCTTAGGGGTCCAGACCCTCAGGTTGAGAAATGCTGGTGCAAATAGATACCAGCAAAGGGAATTCTGAACTCCATTAACTATGGAATTGAGTCAAACTTGGCACACAGAACTCTCTTGACCAACAGAAAATACTGGAAGGATTTGGTGGGCATTGACCTTGAGTTTTGGAGTTCTAGTTCACCTACATCCAGAGAGCACTGTGGACTCAAACAATGATGGATCTGGACCAAACTTGGCACCAATACTCAAGATGCCCAAATGTGAACACTGGTGGAGTTTGGAGAAAATATACCTTGACATTTGGGAGTTACAGTTGCTGGGATGTATAGTTCACCTATAATCAAAGAGCATTCTGGACCCCACCAACAATAGAATTGGGCCAAACTTCCCACACAGAACCTCCGTGACCAACAAAAAAGACTGTGTTTTCTGATGGTCATTGGCAACCCTTCTCACACACCCTCCCGACCCCCAGACTGAGAAACACTGCCCTAGAGAAAATCTACTCTCAGGGGAGGTGCTTTTATGAGTGTTGGCAGATATTTGCCACCCAAAATTTGCAACTCTGCCTCCTGCACATTCACACGTTCCTGTGTCAATCTTTATCATTGCTGCCTTCAATTGCATTTCTCTCTCTAATATGGATTGTAAAGTAGCACATATGCAAACAAGCTGTGCACACTGGAGTGGTATAGGTAATGGGAGCTTTCCATGTGTAAGACAGTAATGCCAACAATCCTCACCATTAGGACTACAACTCCCACTGTTAGGAATTGTGGGAGTTGTAGTCCAAAACACTTGGAGGGCCAAAGTTTGCCCATGGCCGATATACACCCTATACATTGAACCAGCAGAAAGCAAAGGTATCACTATATCAGCCATTCAAGTGGAGGATATTGAAGTATTTTGGTTTCTGGAATTCCAGTTAAAGAATTCCCTTTCCACATCTGTGAATTTCTAGAAAGTGAGAACCAGGAAAAAGAAGTGGAGAGGATAGTAGTTACTGCCATCATGGCAGTTTGGACATGTCTTAACTTGCAATTGTATGCTTTTGTTTTCCGTTCAACAGTTGGCCATTTTTGCTTGGGAGACAGGGAACAAGGCTGAAGGTGGCCCAGATAGTATTCCAGACTGTTGTAGGAAACCTTTCCCCCATTTCATCAGACTACAGAGACTGTTGCACACAGTCAGATTCATGCATTTTGATGTATTTCTATTCAAGTAATAAAGTTCAAGGCGGGAGTAGGATGTTTTTTGGCTGGCAGGGCTCCTGCTTGAGTTTCAGCAACATTGACAGTGGCAGAAATCCAAGAGGTGAAGATTTTCCTTTATAATTATGGGTCCAAGTAGAGAAAAAGCTGCTATTTCATAGAATCATAGAGTTGGAAGAGACCTCATGGGACATCCAGTCCAACCACATTCTGCCAAGAAGCAGGAAAATCACAAATGGCCATCCAGCTTCTGTTTAAAAGCCTCCAAAGAAGGAGCCTTCACCTCACTTCCAACTCTGATTAAACCATTATTCTAACCTTCTTCAATGTAAATGTGCTTACGTAGATTTCCAACAATAATAGAGTAAAATAATAACTGTAATAATAATAATAATAATAATAATAATAATAATAGAGTAAAATAATGGAAATGTAATAATAACAGTAATAATAGAGTAAAATAATAAATATAACAATAACGACCAGGAGGTGACAATGCAGGCTCCTTGGCTTGGAAATGGAGAACAGCACCTTTGCCTTTGTTTGTGTTTGTCTATCTTATTGTATTGTTACAAGGCATTAAATGTTTACACCAGTGTTTCCCAACCTGGTGGTCATGAAGGGGTATCAGAGGGGTCACCAAAGACCATCAGAAAACACAGTATTTTCTGTTGGTCATGGAGACACTCTGTGGGAAGTTTGGTTGGTTCAGAATGCTCTTTGATTGTAGGTGAACTATAAATCTCAGCAGCTTCAAYTCCCAAATGTCAAGGTCTATTTTCCCCAAACTCCACCAGTGTTCACATTTGGGCATATTGAGCATTCATGCCAAGTTTGGTCCAGATCCATCATTGTTTGAGTCCCCAGTGCTCTCTGGATGTAGGTGAACTACAAYTCCAAAACTCAAGGTCAATGCCCACCAAACCCTTCCAGTATTTTCTGTTGGTCATAGAAGTTCTGTGTGCCAAGTTTGGTTCAATTCCATTKTTGGTGGAGTTCAGAATGCTCTTTGATTGTAGGTGAACTATAAATCCCAGCAGCTACAACTCCCAAGTGACAAAATCAATCCCTAATTTGTGCCCAATTTGGTCCAGTGAATAAAAATGCATCCTGCATATCAGATATTTACATTATGATTCRTAACAGTAGCAACAAAAATAATTTTATGGTTGGGGGTCACCACAACATGAGGAACTGTATTAAAGGGTCACAGCATTAGGAAGGTTGAAAACCACTGGTTTACACTGTAATCCACTCTGAGTCCCCATGGGGAGAAGGGTGGAATATAAATAAAGTGCCGGTATTATTATAACTAAAGTTATAAAATCTTGTGAATTTCATTTGCATCTTCTTATCCCAACCAGTTTTCTGTCAGCTTGTTGTGGATGTCGGAGAGGAAGAGTAGAAGGACCTCCCCTTTCCCCAAGCCCTGACCCTCTCACGGGTTTGCAGTCCTCAAGGGACATCACATCATGAAACGCTCCAGCAAAGCTCTTCAGTTGGCATTTTTCCTGGGTGAGTTTCTTAAGGTCCTTCATTAAGTGTTGTGGAATCAGGGTGGAAGGATCCAAATTCAGAATACTGGTCATAAGATGTCAAACAGTTGTGCCAAAATTCCTGTGGCTTGAATGCAGTTGGCCTTCCCCATTTGAGGGTTATAACTTTTGTTGATTTCTTTATTCGCAGATTTGATTAATACGGTCCTGCTAGAAACCTCTAGGTCCTCCAATGCAATTTTATGGTCCACTTCCAGGAGAAGTGGACTATAGAGTCTTTTTGAAAGGCCTAGAAATGTCTAGAGATATGTTTTCCCACATTCACAGGTGTCCTGTGCCCCTAAGTCCAGCAAATGTGAGAAGCTAACTGTATTGTGAAATGTGCCATAATGTCCAGAACGCACTATGTAACATATTGACTGCAAAATATTGTTGTTTGTCACAATTCACAATGCATCATGTTGTCTGCCGTATCTATAACATTTTGTTGATTCTCCTTTGAATGGTTAGGGTAAATTTTATTGATTAGCCCTTAGCCCATATCACAATACCAAACCAAAAGGCTTGTTGAATGATTATGGTTTTGTAGGCTGTTGGTAGTTCAATGATATTTTAAACTTTTATATGATGGTTTCTTAGAATCATAGAATCATAGGGTTGGAAGAGACCTTGTGGGCCATCCAGTCCAACCTCCTGCCAAGAAGCAGGAAAATTGCACTCAAAGCACCCCTGACAGATTGCCATCCAGCCTCTGTTTAAAAGCCTCCAAATAAGGAGCCTCCACCACACTCTGAGGCAGAGAGTTCCACTGCTGAACAGTTAGGAAGTTCTTCCTAATGTTCAGGTGGAATCTCCTTTCCTGCGGTTTGAAGCCATTGTAACAGGAACGAACAAACAGAAGGACATTACAAATCGATGAAAGGTCTACTTCAACTGGGTAAAAAATGGAGGAGCCAACAATCACATCAAAGAGAAAATACAAAGAATTTACCAGTGGCTGGATCTGCAAGATTAGTAGAAATGTACTGTGGTTGAGGAGGGAGGGAAAAAATATAGGAAAATTTAAAAGGTAAACGTTAAAGAAAGGGGAGATTATTATTATAAAATTCAATAAAAATGATGCAAAAAAGAAAAGAAAAGAAAACGTTTGAAGCCATTGTTCCGCAACCTAGTGTCCAGGGCAGCAGAAAACAAGCTGGCTCCCTCCTTCATATGACTCTCCCTCACATATTTATACATGACCCTCATCATGTCTCCTCTCAGCCTTCTATTCTGCAGGCTAAACTTGCCCAGCTCTAAGTTTTTCTGGCTTTTAATTTTAATAAGTCTCCTTGGCCCCTGGGCTGGAAATAAGGTGGGATATAAATGAATTTTTAAAATAGACAGTCATCATAGCACACCAAAATATTTTTCTCTTAGTGTCTTAGTTTTTAGATCTGTTCCCGGGATTATTGGAGGCAATTCCAGACAGCACTAAATCACGAGTTTTAAACAGGGGCAAAAAATCCTAGGACTTCAAAAGAGGTCCACATACACCAGCCTGGACCACTCTCACAACCACCATGTCAGACTACACAGAGAAGCCATTGAAATACACAAACATGTTGACAATTTCAACAGAAAGGAGGAAACTATGAACATGAACAAAATCTGGCTACCAGTATTAAAAATACTCTAAAATGACAACAGCACAACAACAGAGAGGAAACAAACAAGGACATCTAATCACCTTTCAAGAAGAGTTTGCTCCAGGCACAGTCAGCCCATTGTATGCTAATCAAGGTGGTCAGTTGAAAGATTCACACCTAGCCCAACTTACAAAAGCCCTTTGTCTCACCCTGGTCATTCCACAGATATATAAACCCCTTTTTTCCCAGTTCCAGCAGACCTCACCTCTGAGGATGCTTGCCATAGATGCAGGCGAAACGTCAGGAGAAATGCCTCTAAAACATGGCCATATAGCCCGAAAAAACCCACAAGAACTGAGTGATTCCAGCCATGAAAGCCTTCGACAATGCGGAGAATCGCTGCAGCGAATCACTGCAGAAGTTCAATTTTTTGTCCTGGCAAGAGAAATTGTGCCCTCTGGATATTTCATGAAATATCTACCATACAAACAAAGTTTTTTTCCTTCTACTCAAGTGTCACCTTCTTTTTAGGAACCAACCAATCAGAAACAAACATCTAAAACCCGGGAACGAACCCAGATTTTTTTTTTAAAAAAAACCTGTGATTTCCGATTACAGGGAAATACAGACATGCGAAGATCCGCATAATCGACTCAAAACCACAATATTCCTGCACCAGGAAATCTCGCGTTTTTTGCCTTTTGTAGTGATTGCTTCCGCATTTACAGGAAACGGCATCTAGCTACCCTCCTGTTTGTTGCGGAAGCTTCTGGGATAAAGGTACTGTCTGGACGCGCCAGGGGGGATTCAGAAAATTGCATTGGGTAGATTACATCAGCTATAGTTTCTTAAATAGGATTATCATGGTTTTTTATGGGAGGTGCAGATGAAGACTGGTATATGTCGTATATTCTGTATCTCAGAAAACTAGAGCTGATAGGGAAAAATGGGTGGCATTTTTGGAATCCCCAGGTCGAATATACCCAGAAACAAGTCTAACATGTGAGGCATCACAATGTGTGTTAGCTAGTGATTCCAACAATAGCAGCAACAACCATTTTTAAAGTTGCCACCAGATTCCTCTCCTCTTCTTTTTTATATTGTTACAGCTGAACGACTTTGTGAGGTGTGGTTCCCAACCCAATTTGTAAAGGGTTGGACTGGATGGCCCTTGTGATCTCTTCCAATTCTATGATTCTGTGAAACTGAACATCTTCACTCAAAACTGATATTTTGCTCTCTAGTTCTTTTTCACAGCCCTGTCTCGCAGGCCTGGAGCTCCACACTCCCAAGCACAATCCGGGCCCTCCAGGGCTCCTGCGTGGTCATCCCCTGCTCATTCACCTACCCAGGTTCCCGGGATTCTTGGGGCGACAAATTCAGCGTGGCGTGGTACCTATACCGCTCGAGAGGCTACCCTGAAATCTACAACAGCAAGAGCCCAGAGACTGTTCTGCCTGAGTATCAGGGACGGACAGAAGTGTTGGGGAACCTGGAAATGAACAACTGTACCCTCAGCATCAACCCTGTGCGGAGTGAGGATTCCTCCAGCTTCTATGTCTGGATCAACCCTGATTCAGTCAAGCACCGGTTTTATGATGTCACAGTCCGAGTGGAAGTAGCAGGTGAGCGGGATCTTTTTCTGTAATAAGTTTCTTCCCCCAATGAAGAAAATAATTTAAATTGAAGACATGATAAGGAGACTTTGATTATTTGTTTGTCTGGCACAGGCAACCTTCAGCTTTCCAGGTATTTTGGACTTCAACTTCCACAATTCCTAACAGCCACAATTTTTAACAGCCTCTAGTTGTTAAGAGAGAAAAAAAGTTGGACATGACTAGACTTAATATCAGGAGAAAATGTTACCTTATATAGTATAATATGATATAATATAACCGTTTCTTGGGGCTCCACCAGAAATCTTTGATTCAAAAAGCGCTCTATGGTTGAAAACATTTGAGAACCCCTGCTCTCGAGCCAACTCTGGCATGTGGCATCTTCATCCAGTTGAGCTTCAAGAGAGGGAACAGAATAATAATAATAATAATAATAATAATAATAATAATAATAATCTTTATTTATACCCCACCACCATCTCCCGATGGTGACTCGGGGCAGCTTACATGAGGCCACGCCCATCAATACAGTTACACAATATAACCCAAGAAACAATACAGAAACAATACAGAAAATCAGAAAATAAAATAACATAAAATATCAAACCAATATAAATAAACAACACAGCAATGTAAAACAAAACATTAAACACTAAAATGATCACAATGGGCAGGGCCAGATTCAAGATTAAAAATTTAAAACACTGGGAGATAAAGCAGTGTTATATACCAGGAAGGGGAGCCGGGGGATAAGTTAGGAGTCAATTGCACAAACCAAGAAATAAAGTGCTTCTGAGGGCATTTTTGTGCAGAGTTTGGTCAGGGGTTGTCATACATTCAATCATTGAAGGCACATTGGAACAGCCAAGTTTTCAGGCTCCTCTGGAAGATTGCCAGGGTGGGGGCTTGCCTAATATCTCTGGGGAGCGAATTCCAGAGCTGGGGGGCCACCACAGAGAAGGCCCTCTCTCTCATCCCCACAAGTCGTGCTTGCGAAGAAGGCGAGAGCGAGAGAAATGCCGGAAGATCGAAGGGGTCATGTGGGTTCATAGACAGAAATGTGGTTGCTTAGGTAAGCGGGTCTCAAACTATTCAGGGCTTTGTAAGTCAAAACCTGCACCTTGAATTGGGACCGGAAAATAAACAGCAGCCAGTGAAGCTCGTTAAACAGGGGTTGACCAACTACAAATAAAAAAATTATTTGGCTTGAGAGAACAATTTTCTAGGAACATCTATGGGTACATCTATTATGTATAATTAACACAGTTTGGAATTACTTTAAATACAATGGAATTAGTTTTAAAAGGTCTTTAGTCTTCTCTGACAAAAATATTTATGCCTCACCAAACTACAACTCTCATATTTTCATAACATTGAGCCATGGCAACTAAAGTGATGTCAAATTGCATTAATTCTATAGTGTAGACACACCCTATGTCCTCCAGTGTGGCTCTTTGGTCAAGTACTGTCAGAGGTTGGCCAGAGCATTGCAGTGGAGCACCTAAAGATTCCTGGGGAGACCATATTGATCAAATCTGTGAATAATGAAATCTGCAAAAGTCAAAACCTGTGAATGTGGAGAACCAATTGTACTTTCATTTCACACACACATGGCCTGCTTTTCAAAGTATGTTATTTTGGGGGGAATTTTGGTGATATTTTTCCCTTAAAAGCCCTCCTAAGTACATAGCCTTGTTCCTCCTTCCAAGGAGAATTCTTGTACTTGTAATCGTTTCATGTCAAGCATAAATGCAACAGGATGGTTTTCCTATTCAACTGTGTCTCCAAGACATCCACCGATCTGCTCTTATTAACTCTTCTTTCCCTTATTTTGCAGATACTCCAAGCCCATTGGAGTTGAGTGACCCAGGCTTGCTGACAGAAGGGGACCGCACTATGGTTACCTGCTCTACCCTGCACACCTGTCCCTTAACTCCGCCTACCCTTAGTTGGAGTCTTGATGGATCCAAGGCTGTTATAGTCCAGGAGCGCTTGGCAGGAGGATCCTGGAGAACAGAATCAAGATTTAGCTACACCCCTTCCCACAAAGACCATGGCAAATATCTGCAATGCACAGCCACCTTTCCAAATCAGCAACAGTCTCGCAATGGGATCTACTTGGAGGTTAAATGTGAGTGTCTTTCCATGGTACACCCAGATTATGGGTAGAAAAAAAATTCAGTACAATATATGCCCTCTTCAAGTATAGGTGCACTATCCCCAAAAGGTGGCACGCATTGAAATGTTAAAAAATGCATTCCTCTAGGATCAGTTTGTTGTTATTGTGTGCTTTCAACATATACACACTCTAAGGCAAACCTATCACTATGGCTGGATCTACACCGTCATATAATGCAGTTTGGTACTGCATATATATCTAGCGTAGACCCATGTAATGTGGTTTAATGGCAGCATAGATTCAGCCTGTGTTTTCTTGGCAAAATGCATTTTGAGTGGGTTTTCCATTGCCTTCCACTAAAAATGAGAGTACATATATTTCCCAGAGTCACCTTGGCTTGTTTAGCCAAGCAAGGAGTCAAACCTGGTCTTCCAGAGTCCTAGTCCAACACTTAACAATAGGCATGTGCAAAAAAATCGGAAGTGTCAGAAATCGTAAGAAAAATGGAAGTTGTGTAAGTCGGAAGCCATATCCGAAGCGTTTGCATGGCCCACACCAAATATTTTACAATCGAAACTTACCCCATACTTTTTCATTTTAGTTTTGTAAATCTCAGAAGCCTCTCAAAGTCAGTTTCATATTTAGTGCAAGGAAGCAAGGCTATTAAGCCAAAAAGGCTGCCTACCTGCCTACCTGGAATTAATTGATTTTTGGCATTAGAAGCCAAGAAAAAAGGGCAGTGCATTTTAGGAACAGCATAGAACTTTGGGAAATGTAGTTTGGGAAAGGGAGGACCCCTATGCTAAAGAATTCAAAATTCTGCCCTAAACTACATTTCCCAGTATGTATCAGCATCAGTAAACCTCAACTAGGAGACGAGATCAGTATGTAGCCAGGCAGAGTTCCAATACATTTGTTAATATTCTACACTATGATTTCTGTTCCTGGGTTATAAATGGCAGTTCCTAATTGGTTCTATCATAAAAAAAACATGGCAAATGTTTATTACACTACAAAAACGTTGTCTTTCCGCAAAGGACATCGCCCTATAGCACACTTTGCCTTGCTGAGTCTCCACCAATTTAGTGAGTTTCTGCCACAAAAGCAAAATTTCTGGAGTAGAACAACTACTTTCAAAGTAAAGACTACACAATTAAACAGGAAATAACACTTTGAAACTAGGAACCGATTTTTTATGATTAAAAATGTTGTTTATAAAAATTTTGAATATTTGCCAAATATTTGTGGATAAGTGAAAAATTCGGGCTAAAAGTGGTAAGTGTCAGGCTAAAAGTGGTAAATGTGTTATACAATTGTAGCAAGTTTCACCCCAATATCTTTGAAAATAATGGAGTTTCTTCAATTATAATAATTTTGCACATGTGCAATTTTTGTAACGAAATAGTAACGAAATTACGTTAGTATCGTTATTACTGTATTACTGTAACGAAATAGTAACAAAATTTCGTTAGTATCGTTATAGTAATTAAATTTTCACTAAGTATACTGTAGAAACACTTTAGAAATGAAGCACCAGCACCCCCAAGTTTTATAATGATTTTTGAACCATTTTTTAATGGATCGCACACCCCTATTTCTAGGGAAGTCATGCTATCCCTCTATTCTGCCTTGGTTAGGCCACATCTGGAATACTGTGTCTAATTCTGGGCACCACAACGGAAGAGAGATTTTGACAAGTTGGAATGTGTTTAGAGGAGGGTGACTAAAATGATCAAGGGTCTGGAGAACAAGCCCTATGAGGAGTGGCTTAAAGAGCTGAGCATTTTTATCCTGTAGAAGAGAAGGCTGAGAGGAGACATGATGTCCATGTATAAATATGTGAGGGGAAGTCACAGGGAGAAAGGAGCAGGCTTGTTTTCTGTTTACCTGGAGACTAGGACATGGCTTCAAACTAGATGGCTTCAAACTAGATGAAAGGAGATTCCACCTGAAAATTAGGAAGAACTTCCTAACTGTAAGAGCTGTTCAGTAATGAAAATCTCTGCCCTGAAGTGTGGTGGTGGCTCCTTCTATGGAGGCTTTTAAACAGAGGCTGAATGGCCATCTGTTGGGGGTGCTTTGAATGCAATTGTCCCCAATATCTTTGAAAATAATGGAGTTTCTTCAATTATAATAATTTTGCACATGTGCAATTTTTGTAACGAAATAGTTGGACAGGGGGTTGGACTGGATGACCCATGAGGTCTCTTCCAACTCTATGATTCTACGATTCTATCATTCTAAGCCGAAGAGCCGGAGTTATCCGTAGACACCTCCAAGGTCATGTGGCCTGCATGACTGCAAGGCGCTCCGTTACCTTCCCACCAGAACATGCTTGTAGCACATGCAACTGAAACCATGTGATTGACATTCTAATTGTATAATAATGACAGCTGTGAGCAGAGCATTTCCACATTAGAAGATTCATAAAGAGAATTAGCATAGCTATGTTGATACAAATATATAACTGAAGATTGTGTTTCTGCTGAAAAAAATGAGAAAAAATGATAGACAATGATTTTGGTGTCACTTGGTGGTGTCACCCGGTAGAGTTTGCACCCCCCAAGTGATGCCACTGCAAGAGGCAGAGTTTGGAAAGGCAAAGGTAAAGGTTTTCCCCTGAGAATAAGTCCAGTTGTGTCTGACCCTGGGGGTTGGAGCTCATCTCCATTTCTAAGTCGAAGAGCCGGCGTTGTTTGTAGACACCTCCAAGGTCATGTGGCCGGCATGACTGCATGGAGCACCATTACCTTCCCATCGGAGCGGTACCTATTGATCTACTCACATTTACATGTTTTCAAACTGCTAAATTGGCAGAAGCTGGGGCTGACAGCGGAATCTCACACTGCTCCCCGGATTCGAAGCTGCAGCTTTTCGGTCAACAATCTCAGCCATTTAACCCACTGTGCCATCCTTAGATATTCTAAAAGATATACTAAGAACATTCTTTTTCTCCTGAAATCGAAGCTTCAAAAAATGAGGTGCACCTCACATTTGATGGTGGCATAGATCTGGTGAAATGCAGTCTGTAGGGAAGTAGCTATGCTTCAGAAAGCTTGAGTTAAGCATTAATGTGTCTGCCCAGATACCCGAGGAAAAGGCTAGTCCTGTGTTCATAGGTTAATTCAGATATGTCTAAAAGATGTTACTCTGCCATTTCTTCTTTATGCTCCATAAGCAGGCAGTTTCGCCTGAAAGAAAATCTGGGAGAATGTGAGTTCACAGAAAGAGAATTGCTTAGGACTCTGGGCCCTGGGGCAAGAAGCATCGCACTTATAACACCATCCTGTTTTGCTGGGTTATACTGTTTGAAAATGACTACAGCTGACCTCACAGCGATAGCGGATTGTTGATTCTATATATTACACCTTTCTCTTTCTAATAGCGTGATTTGCAGATTTGTTTTTCCCATTCATACTAATGTCATTATCATTTCCCCATTTGCCTACCTTGTACTTTGTGATTGGTACAGCGGTTAAACCTCTTAGCTGCAGAACTTGCTGACCAGAAGGTCGGGGGTTCGAATCCGCAGGACAGGGTGAGCTCCCATTGATAGCCCCAGCTTCTGCCAACCTAGCAGTTCAAAAACATGGAAGTGTTTTTGATCAAGAGGTACCACTTTGGTGGGAAGGTAACAGTGCTCCATGCAGTCATGCCGGCCACATGACCTTGGAGGCGTCTGCAGACAACACCGGCTCTTTGGCTTAGAAATGGAGATGAGCACCAACATCCAGAATCGGACTCAACTAGACAATGTCAAGGAGAAACCTTTACTTTATAGAGAGGGGTGAGGGGGGGAGCGCTAGCTGTAATAATGTTAATATAGTACAACATCATTATAGAACATCATCACTGTCATTGCAAGAGGTAGCACAACAAGGGAAACAGATCCCATCATTCATTGTTGTTGTCTTTCTCCTGTGAAACAGAAAAGTGCTTATCAGTTGTTTCAAGCTTCCTTTTCAAAACTGCTTCACATACATTCATATACATTCATATATACCATTGTTATATCCCAACATCATTACAGTACACACATCACTGCTCAGATCTTATGTTGTGAGAGGTGACAAAGGAAGACAAACAGATCACATCATTCCCCAACATTTTTGATGTCTTTCTCCTGTAAGAAATGGGAGTGCTTGTCATGCTAGTCATTGTTTCAAGAAGTTATTGTAGTCACTAAACTGTAATAATGCTATTTTGGCATAATGTCATAGTATGATTGATTATAGACACTTTTAAAGTAATGCTATAGTGGCAACACCGTGATGTTTGGAAGCACAGAGAAGCAGTGGAGAAATCATCAGAAAACACCTGGTAGTAAATCATGGCTTTAAATCCTACAGACTTCCACATGGTGAATCTGCTCCAGGTTTACGTCTGAACTTTGAAGGAGCTAGTTGAAACAGACTTAGTGCCCCACCGACATGAGCCAGGCTTTAGCACAGCTGGTAAATTACCAGCAATGATAAGATCTACCAACCAAAAGGTTGCCAGTTCAAAGTCCAGGGTCAGCATGAGCTCCCAACTGTCAGCCCAGCTTACTATTTACCTAAACAATTTGAAAACAGCTTGAGCTGTAAGTAGAGAAATTAGGTACCACTAAAACAAGCAGGGGAGGTATTTTATGACACCATAAAGAAAAAGGTCAGAAAATGCCCAGCAACTAAAAGGAAGGAGGAAGTCCTGATGGCTCTTTGTCACAGAGGATAGAGTGACAGCACCCCCCCTCCCTCCCGTGACTAAATTCAAGCACAACCTCCAAGGCACCAAAAACGTCGGCACATCATACCTCCTTTTTGTTCTGTCTGTTTCTGTCCTGTCTATTCAAAACGGCATTGAATGTTTGCTGTGTATGTGTACTGTGATCCACCCTGAGTTCCCTTGGGGAGATAGGACAGAATATAAATAAAGTGTTGTTATTGTTACTGTTGTTGTTGTTGTTGTTGTTGTTGTTGGAGACACAAGCTTTCACTGTATTCAAACCCAGGAGTGAGTCTCCCTAGGGATGAGAACAGTAGTATAAAAATACAGTAAATAATAAATAAATAAATAAATAACAGCGAAGAACATGTGACCTTTCAGAATTTGTTGGCCTTCAACATCCATCATCCCTAAACTATCTGGGGTGATGATTTCCAAACTGACAGATTCAGAAGGGAAGGACATTGAAGTCAAACACCAACTTTTGACGGGCAGAAGCAAAAACAAACTAGAAGTGTGGGCTTCATTATAAAATTAATTAATTCCATTTGTATCCTACAACTTTCCAAATGAACTCAAGAAAGTTGATCGACTTTATTATCCTTGCAGGCAAAGTCAAAGATGGGCTCAATAGGTTTTAATGGCTCACTGATTCCTTCCTCTCTCGGTTGAAAAAAGTCAACTGAACAGCACCAGTTTGTGTGTATATGTCTATGTTTATATACTGTATATATTCCAAGTTCCAGGTCAACACTCTAACCACTCTTTATACCTCTGATTGTTTTTTCCAGATACTCCCAAAAATGCTGTTGTCTCTGTAGTGGGCAACCCGATCCTGAAAGAAGGGGACACTGTCACCCTGCGGTGTAGCAGCCAAAGTAATCCGCCTGCGGTCAGTTACCGCTGGTTCAGTGGGCCACGCAAAGCACCACTACGGGCGGCAGGTGTGGGAGCAGAGGTGAAGGTGGCAGATATACGGAGAGACTCTGGCCCGTACCACTGTGTTGCAGAGAATGATGTGGGAATGGGAGAGGACTCACCACCCACCTACCTCAGCGTGGAGTGTAAGGAAACTCTTCCATTGGATTGGTTTGTTGATTGCTTTGTTGAAGGCAGGAGTGTGGAAAGTGTAGCCTGTGGGCTACATACCGTATATACTCGAGTACAAGTCAGGTTTTTCAGCCCTTTTTTATGGGTGAAAACCACCCCCTTGGCTTATACTTGAGTCAAAGTAATTTAACTCGTTATTTATTATTTTACTCTATTATTATTATTATCATCATCATCATCATCATCATCATGACATTTACATTATTTTACTCTATTATTATTTTTATTACATTTATTATTTTGCTTCATTTATTATTGTTATTACATTTATTATTTTACTCTTATTATTATTATATTTATTATTTTACTCTATTTATTATTATTATTTCATTCATTATTTTACTCTATTTATTATTGTTATTACTTTTATTATTTTACTCTATTATTATTGGAAGGATACGTAAGCACATTTACAATGAAGAAGGTTAGAACCATGGTTTAAACAGAGTTGGATAGTGTTATCGTAAATTACAGTGTTATGTAAATATTCAAAAACATCTAACTTACTGACACCTCAATTAATGTAATTTTATTAGTATCAATTTTAATTTGAAATTTACCAGTAGCTGCTGCATTTCCCACCCTCGACTTATAGTCAAATCAACACATTTTCCCAGTTTTTTTTTGTGTGTGGTCCAATTAGATTCTTCGGCTTATGCTCAGGTTGGCTTATAGTCAAGTAAATATGGTATGTGGAGAAGCTTTCCAACTGGGGCCTTTCATTCCCAGCTGATGGATCCAGGATGTGGTAGGGCTTGTGGCTGAACACTAGGCATGTGCAATCCATAGTTCTAAATGGTTCTAAAGTACTTACAAAACTAAAGTTCTGGTGGTGAAAACTAGGAGGTGTTGGTGCTTTGCTTCTACAGTGTTGMTAAAGTTCTGGTGGTGAAACCTTCAGAACTCTAACACAACTTTCAAAATTTCATTATAAATGGCAGTTCCTAATAGGTTCTGTCATAAAAAATCACCAATAATGAAATAATAATGAAAATTTGAAAGTTTTGGTAGAGTTCTGAAATTTTCACCAYCAGAACTTTAGCAACACTGTAGAACCAAAGCACCAGCGCCCCCTAGTATTCACAACCAGAACTGTAGTTTTTTTAAATAATAATAATAATAATAATAAYAACAACAATAATAATCTTTATTTATACCCCACCACCATCTCTCCAATGGGGACTCAGAGCGGCTTACATGAGGCCAAGCCTAAACAGAAAATTACAATAAAATAAAACCGAAAATGCAAACAATAAACAACAAACAACACAATTATATAAAACATATGAACACATAGCAATATAAAATTACAATAGGCACAATCACAATGACAATGGGCGGGCTACATGTAATGATTAAAAGAGAGACTGATTAAAACTAATTGAAACTCAGGCGAAATAAGTGAGAGACAGGTTATTTGCGGAGGAGGACTCATTATAGTGGGGGTTGTGGAATCAGGCTTTCCCACAAAGGGGAGGGGGGACATATACTCCAATGACAAAACGTTGAAGCTAAGCAATAGTGTGAGAATGTAAACCTATTCATCAAAAGCACAGCGGAAGAGCCAGATTTTAAGGTCCTTTTTAAAGGTTTCTAAGGTAGGGGCTTTCCTAATTTCTCCTGGTAGTGAGTTCCAAAGTCGGGGGGCCACAGAGGAAAAAGCTCTCTCCCTTGTACTTACTAGATGAGATTGTGAAATTGGCAGGGGCGAAAGAAGGGCCTCCCCAGAAGAATGGAGGGCCCGAGTTGGTTCATGGAGGGAGATATGGTCACGAAGGTGGGCGGGTCCCAAACCGTTTAGGGCTTTATAGGTAATAACCTGCACCTTGAATTGGGACCGGAAAATAAACGGCACCCAGTGGAGCTCCTTAAACAGTGGGGTTGACCGCTTGTAAGTACTTTAGAACCATTTAGAACCATGGGTTGCACATGCCTACTGAACACATTTGAAAAGACCATATTGAAAAAGTTTAGTTTAGATAGAACAAAAAATACTTTATGATATACGCATACTGCACACTTAAGAATATCTCTGGTCGCACTGCAGATAAGCCTGTCATCCTGCCACAAGGAAATTGCACTATCTCAAGGACTGGAGAGACCGCCACCTGTTACTGTGTGGCAGAGGGAAACCCCTTACCTGGCATCGAGTGGCGTCTCTTCAACCGTACTGTTCCCGGGGAATTCAACAGCTCGGATCTACAGGCTGCCTCAGCCTCTTGGGGAGAAGCCGTCATTGGGATGTTACGTGGCTCTGCCTCCACACTGGTCAATGTCTCCTGCACAGCTACCAACAAACATGGGCCCAGCTACCTCACCCTTCCAACCGTCCAGGCAGGTAAGCGATGGCAGAGAAAGCAAGGTGAACCTGTGCTCTATGACACTTTCTAGCAGGTGAGGCATTTTTAAAGGACAGGTTGAGCATCCCTTATCCAAAAAGGATGCTTAATCTAGGGCCAGAAGTTTTGGATTTTTAAAATTTTGGAATATGTAAATATATATAATGATATCTCTTGGGGATGGGACCCAAGTGGAATGCCACAAACCATTAATACAGTTGTGGTGACCCCCTACCAAAATTATTTTGATTGCTACTTCATAACTGTAATTTTGCTACTGTTAAGGGCGCTCCATGCAGTCATGTCGGCCACATGACCTTGGAGGTGTCTACAGACAACGCCGGCTCTTCGGCTTAGAAATGGAGATGAGCAACAACCCCCAGAGTCAGACACGACTAGACTTAATGTCAGGAGAAAACCTGTAAATATCTGATATGCAGGATATATTTTCATTTACTGGACCAAATTTGGCACAAATACTCGATACACCCAAATTGGGAGGCGGTGGGTATTGCTTTTGTGATTTTGGAGTTGTAGTTGCTGGGATTTATAGTTCACCTACAATCAAAGAGCATTCTAAACTCCACCAACGATAGAATTGAACCAAGCTTGGCACACAGAACTCCGGTGACCAACAGAAAATACTGGAAGGGTTTGGTGGGCATTGACCTTGAGTTTTGGAGTTGTAGTTCCCCTACATCCAGAGAGCACTTTGGACTCAAACAATGATGGATCTGGACCAAACTTGGCACAGATACTCAATATGCCCAGATGTGAACACTGGTGGAGTTTGGGGAAAATAGACCTTGACATTTGGGAGTTGTAGTTGCCAGGATTTATAGTTCACCTCAATCAAAGAGCATTCTGAAACCCACCAACGACAGAATTGAGCCAAACTTCCCACACAGAACGACATTGCCCAGAATCTCCCCACCTACATGGACCAAACTGTGTTTATGTCTTTTTCCTAACCCAGAGCTTTGCCGTCTTTTTAATTTCCCACAATTTCCAATACCATGCTGTTATAGCATCATAGTGATACCTTAGTCCCACTTTCGCATAATGGTATTGTTCTCCAGGCGTTATTGCATTGCAGGGTCATTGAAATTGTGTTTTTCTTTTATTTGACAGTTGCATTTCTGCCTGTGCACTAGCTGTCCAAAACACACAATGTCCATTTTTTTTGTGTATTTGTCATCCTTAGAAACCACTGCAGCAAGGTTTGCTTTTCTCTTTTTCTTCCCTAGTGGACATGAACTTTCTTCTCATGATATCAGGAGGTGCTGTTGGGGGCCTCCTCTTCCTTACCTTGATGGGGATTGTGGTCTACAAGATGGTGACCAGCAGGTAAGAAGACCAGAAGATCAATTCCATGCAATCAATAGCAGTTTTATGTAGAAGCTGACTTTGAACTACAGGGGTTGAATGAAAAAGAATGCCTCCACCTTGGTTACTTAGTTTTGGATGGAAATATTTTAATAAATCAAACGCAGAAATAATCCTTAGGATGTGCTCTTTAACTACCACTATTCACTTTTCCACATCATCTGAAGCTGTCACAGAAGAAGTCGACACTCTGTTTCTGCAACCCATCGTGCACAGATCTTCCGATAGCCAAGCAAAGCAATAATGTGACCCACACATTCTTGTGAAATGCCAATTATGCTTGAAATTTCTCTCGGAGTGATATGATGATCGTCCTGAATCAATTTGTCAACCTTTTGCTTATGAAACTCGGTGGTTGCTATCACAGGACGTCCAACTCTTGGTTTATCATGCAAGTCAGATGTTCCTACCTCAACAACTTTGAACTTACTCACCCAACGACACACAGTACTCACATCAACACAATCACCATAAACAGCTTGCATTCTCTGATGAATCTCTTTTGGAGTGACACCTTCTGCCGTCAAGAATTCAATGACTGCACGTTGCTTAAGTCTCATTGACTGACTGTCTGCGTAGGGTTCCATACTTTGCATTTTAACAACACAACCATTCAATGCTAAGACTTCCCATCAAAACAGAACTGTAGAAGAGAGTCTACTGAACAACCCAGTACCTGCCGCATACCAGTACTGCCATCTGTTGAGGAGTTACGAAGGTGGAGGTATCACTTTTCATTCAAACCTCGTACATTGCTAAACCCAAAACAAAATTAAAATCTATTTTTCATTCCCATCCCATTCCTCAAAAGACAACTCTTTGGGAAGCTTTGTTCACTACACCTTTTGATCTGCATCTTTAATAACAACATAGGCTGCTGGTATTAGCAGATGGGTGGACACTTCGGATTACTCTTCTGTTATCCCACTTTTTCAACTGCTTTAAAAATGTCCCAAGGCCTGTCTCCATGGGCTGAATAGTATGGACTGATTGTGAACTAGCTCCTGGGTGTTTTTATGACATCTAGGGACTTCTGGTCCTTACTAAATGCTAAACTGTGTTAATCTTGTTAAGGCCTATGTTAAGGAAAGTTGTAGGATGCTTTGGAGTTTGGCCAAAATTTTGGAACAACCCCACATTTTGGTCACATTGTGGACAGCACAACTGAGCCTGACACAGACCCCAGGAGCCACTGCTGACATCTCCTTTTCCTTGCACTCATCAATGTCGGAGAAAGAGATGCACTGTGCCTATGATTCCACCATAATAATAATAACACTTCACTTATAGTCCGCCCTATCTCTCCAAGGGAACTCAGTGTGGATCACAGTACACATACATGGAGAACATTCAATTCCATTTGGACAGACAAGGATAGAACAGACAGAAAGGAGGCATGTTGTGTTGACGTCAGCGCCTTGGAAGGTTGTGCTCGAAATCCAGCCACAGGGGGGTGCTATTGTTCCATCCTCTATGACAGTGGTTCTCAACCTGTGGGTCCCTAGGTGGTTTGGCCTACAGCTTCCAGAAATCCCAGGCAGTTTTCCAACTGTTAGGATTTCTGGGAATTGAAGGCCAAAACATCTGGGGACCCACAGGTTGAGAACCATGCTCTATGACAAAGAGGCATCAGGACTTCCTCCTTCCTTTTTGGTCCCCAGCATTTTCTGGTCTTTTTCTTTTTATTATGGTGTCATAAAATACCTCCCCATTTGTTTTAGCAGTACCTAATTTCTCTAATTATAGTACAAGCTGTTTTCGAACTGCTTAGGTCAATAGTAAGCTGGGCTTGATAGTCGGCAGCTCCAGATGTCAATCTGGAGCTTTGAACTAGCAACCTTTTGGTTGGTAGATGTTATAATTGCTGGTGATTTTACCAGCTGTGCTAAACCCTGGTCATCACCACTGCTAGACAGCTTCAGGTTTCTGCAAGTGATCTTGGTCATTGCATGAGCCTCGTTCTGACATCAGAAGAGATGCCTACATGACCTGGGAGAAGGAAAGGGCCAATTTCCCCTCCTTCTCTTTGGCTGTGCAGGCACCTTTGCTGAGGCCAGGTCCTCTGAGGTCCATCAAGGCTCAAATTATTTTAGCCTGGCTGAGCCATATATATTATGCACCACTGGTATGGGTTAAGGGATGGAGTGAGGGGTCATTCTGGAAGCCAGTCTAGAGCCTTTCTGCTCCAAACTGATCAAAGATTAAGGCTCCAGGATAGATGAGCCTTGGGGTTTTCTCTCATCCCACTTCCATCTTCATCCCAGATTACTTACATTACTGCAACATGAGGGCCCTTCCACACAGTCATATAACCCAGAATATCAGGGCAGAAAATCCCACAATATTTGCTTTGAACTAGAATATATGGCAGTGTGAACTCAGTTAATCCAGTTCAAAGCAGATAATCTGCCTTGATATTCTGGGTTATATGGCTGTGTGGAAGGGACCCGAGTTCAAAGTGCAAAAATAGTTCATGTTCCTTTCTCTCGACAGTATCTTGCCCTTTTCTATAGACTCAGATATATGCATAGAACTGCTGCCTCTCCTAGCTTGTCTGCTAGGAGACAAATATTAAAATATTTTGTCATCTAGACCACACTGACCATTTATGAGTACTTTGCAACAACCGTATTTAAAAACTCTAAAATCAGAACAGTAAATAAAGAACAACACTCAAAAACAGGGGAATTCCAGACAAGAACCAATCAGGGCCAGCTAACACCTCTCAACAAAAGGTTCCCGCAAGCAGAAAGCAGCCAAGCCTTCAAACTGCAAGGCTTTTCGATGCTAATCAAGGTGATCAATTGCAGTATTCTCACTTGCCTCAAGCAAACAAGAATTCTTTCTCCCACCCTGGACATTATTCCACAGATATATAAACCAAACTTGCCTAATTTCCAAAAGACCTCACAACCCAAAAGATTTTTTTTTGTGTGTCAGGAGCAACTTGAGAAACAGCAAGTCACTTCTGATGTGAGAGAATTGGCTGTCTGCAAGGACATTGCCCAGGGGACGCCTCGATATTTTGATGTTTTACCATCCTTGTAGGAGGCGTCTCTCATGTCCCTGCTTGGGGACCTGGAGCTGACAGAGGGAGCTCATCCGTGCTCTCCTCAGATTCGAACCTATGACCTGTTGGTCTTCAGTCCTGCCGGCACAAGGGTTTAACCTATTGTGCCACCAGGGACTCCTAACCCCGAGGATGCCTGCCATAGATGTGGGCAAAGCGTCAGGAGAGAATGCTTCTGGAATATAGCCATACAGCCTGGAAAACTCACAGCAACCCAGATTAGAAGTCACTTTAGTTTAGCATCCTGTTTCTTTACTTTTTTTAAATGACCCACAGTGCTGCTAAGGGTCTCATTTTTGTCCACCGTTGCATTACCAGGTCAGATGGCAGTGTTTACATTCACACATTGAAGAGCTTCTTTGGTCACTTTTTATGCAAGGGGTTGCTGTCAAAGTTGCTGGCTTTTCCTCTGAGCAATTGCCAATTTATTCTTTGCATCCCATCACAGTGGCTCTAGTAGTACTATCTCCCCTTATTTTTATTTTGGTGTTTCTAGGAAAAATGAAGAAAAGCAAGAAGAAGAGGAGGAGGAGGAAGAAGATCCTGCACTATTTGTCACGGATGGAGCCCTGGAACAGAAGACACCTGTCAAAAAAGAGAAACCTGCCAAAAAAGAGAAACAATCCAAATCCAAGAAGGATGAGCAACTCAACATGTACAGTAAGCCCCAAAAAGGAGGGAACACTGCTGGTGACAAGGTAAGGGGAAACTCTTAAGGTCTGTAGTTTCAGCAGGGTTGTTTACCCCAATTTATTTGCAAGTGGTCTCACTTGTTGTTTATTTATTCCACTATATCTGTCTGCAAGGAGACTCAAAATGTTTAGTGTTGGTTTTAGCCAGTGCTGTAACCCATGGACCTATTCACGCACCACTCCAGACCATGATATTACGGCTAAAATACTAGAATATTTGATACAATCTGCAATTACAAAAGTCCAGCAGCAATGGAAACAACGTTTTATAATTTTTTATTGTTTTTATTGCTTTTATGGTTTTTATATGTATTATGATATGATTTATTTGTTTTTAACCGATGTATGTATTTATACATGGCATCTAATTGTTGCCAATTTGTATGCCGCCTTGAGTCGTCTTTGGGCTGAAATGGGTGGGATAAAAGTGACATAAATATAAATAAATAAACAGTGCATGCTTGTAGCACATGCAACTGAAACCATGTGATTGACAGCATCATTGTAATGGTATAATAATGACAGCAGTGAGCAGAGCATTTCCATATTAGAAGATTCATAAAGTAAATTAGCATAGGTATGTTGATACAAACATATAACTGAAGATTGTGTTTCTGCTGAAAAACTGGAAAAAAATGATAGACAGTCATGTTGGGGTCATCGTCTCTTGTAGTATCACCCGGTAGAGCCTGTACCCCTCTAATGATGCCACGGTAAGAGCCAGAGCTTGGAAAAGTTATTGTTTTTTTGTGTCAAACTCCCAGGATCCTCCATCCCAGGCTCCTCCATATTTGTGATAGTAAAAGGTAAAGGTTTTCCCTTTAAGTCCAATCGTGTCCAATGCTCGCGGTTGGTGCTCATCTCAATTTCTAAGCCAAAGAGCCGGCATTGTCTGTAGACACCTCCAAGGTCATGTGGCCTGCATGACTACTTGGAGCGCAGTTACCATCCCGCAGAAGCGGTACCTATTGGTCTGCTCACATTTGCATCTTTTCGAACTACTAGGTTGGCAGAAGCTGGGGCTAACAGCGGAAGCTCACACCACTCCCTGGATTCAAACCTGCAACCTTTCGATCACAAGTTCAGCAGCTCAGTGGTTTAACCCACCGCGCTACCAGTATCATAAATACTTATGATATTTTAAGCCAAATAATCTGACTTGTAAACTTTAGCATTCATATTGTGGCACCATTGTCATCATCATATATGCCCCTAAAATGCATCTTATTTGCCTGGAAGCTGCACCAGCCAGAGTTCTGCTGGTGTGCATGATGCTGAAGGATGATGTGACCATCCTCCTCTTGCCATCAAGCTACATTTCAATAAGCTGTTATGACAAGAGCCCTTGCTACTGTTCATCATGTCACGAGTCATGCGTAGGAAGTGACTAGAAGGGTCATAATTCAGCACTTCACTCATCAGCGTTGGAGAAATCCATGGTGGATGGATCCATCCTTTTATAGGGTCGGGTCAGGAGAGGGATTAGTTACATCATCACGGCTACATCTCCCCCAGCAAGATTTTAGCCATAAGGTTTTCAAGGATGCTTGATTATAATCGACAACAAGGGGTTCGGGATGTGAATGATTACTTTTTGTATCGCATATAACAAATATACTAACAAATTTTATCTGCCATCACATCCACTATAATAGCAAAGACCCCACTACAAAACAATCTGGAAAAGACAAAACAAAATGTTTTGTATAATTTTTCATAATTTATGCAAAACATTTTGTTTTGTCTTTTCCAGATTCTAGAAGGCAGCCACGACATTTTGGAATAGTTCATTCCATTCCATTTGCTTTCCTTTCGCATATTCTCGCTTTCTATTATTGTGTTTCCCTTCCAACACACACCTAGCATTCTGTGCCTATGGAACAACACTCATTTCTAAACCATGAAAAAAGTTACTTTTGGGGGGGATTCTCCCAAACCTACTGCAGTTTAGCCTTTGTGTACTATTTTGACTACATAAGGATGGCACTGGGCCCCCAGTAGTACCATTTTGCCAGGTTGTCTTTTGATCTGCCCACTCCACTTCTGAGTCTGACTTCCAAGTTGCCCATTCTTGGTTTGATTGATTATTATTGATTGATGAATGAAGTCTATTTAGGTCTATTTGCTCACAAATTCTATTTTTTTCTCCCTGGCTCCTCCAATTTTTTTTAGGATTCAAGCACAGAAGCCTACGAGACCATGGAAATAGTAGAGGATTATGAGAATTTATCAACGGGAGCCTCGGGAGGACTTTATGGGAACCTGAGCAATTGGCAAACCACCTCTGGCCCTGATCAAATCTATTCAAACGTGTGATCCAAGAAGGGAATGGACAAAAGAGTGTGTCTGAATCTCTTTCTATTTAACAAGTGCTTGTATAACTAGAATTAAGACTAGGTAGAGCAACAAGTGCAATCGGGCAGGAGAGGCGGAGAGATGTGGCGTCACATTAGGATACCTAAATAAGTAAGCCTAAAGGGTTAACTCACAGAAGGCTCTAAGGAAGCATGATTAGAATAAACCTTGGAATGCCCTGCTGCAGGAAGTGGTATTAATGTTAACTCCCAAAACTTCTGAGAGGGAATATTTCATGGGTGTAGAATCCTGGTTTTCAAAGTATTGAGGGAAGACATCTTGGCATTACCTCCTAAGACTCTTTCCTTCTGAGGATATATTATTGATCTTTCCCCGCAAGGATGTACAATTTGCAAAGGGATAGTGGAAAGGATGGTTGCCTTCCAGGACTGCCTGCGGAGGGAAATGCAGATGTGCTGTTTTCATCCCTTTCTTCTTTTTGTACAACCAAACTCTTTCCTGCTGTGCCGAGCCCATTGTGTCAGTGCATTTTTTTTCTGTCAGACTTTCAAAGTATATGTCTATTTTTGTACTTTCAACACATTTTACTGCTTCTATTGCTGTGATTACTTTGGATTCTGGATACCGATTGGGAATATCACACTGAGATATCGCTGGAAGTTACTACATATACTTAACCAGATTCTTCTGTATTGGATGGCTGCATAAGATCCAGCAATCTAGTATTTATTTATTTACTTACTTACTACATTTGTATACCGCCCTTCTCAGCCCGCAGGCAACTCAAGGTGGTTTACAGAGGCAACAATTCAGTGCCCAACAACACCACAAAAACATTTAAAACATTTTAAAACATTAACATATAATATAAAACCATAACAAGATCAAGGAGACATAAATCATTTGCATCTCCTAATTAAAACGTTGTCCAATCTCATCATAGTAGTTGCCAGGGTTATGGAAGTCTAGGATTTGTAGTTTGGTGATGCCTTCCTCTGGTTGAGCATTGTAAATGCCCTTGTAAACTGCAAATCCCAGGGTTCCATGGAATGCAGTCATGGTAGCTAAGATGGGATCATAGAATCATAGAGTTGGAAGAGACCATCTATCTATATCTATTTATATAATAAAAGTGAATGTTTGTTTGTATGTATGTATGCGGAGGACGGAAGTGCAGAAGTGTATGTGGCAGCTTTCTGATTGGCTCTCACTTTCACAGGCCACAGAGACTTGCACGACCGACGGACCTGAACCAAACTTGGCACACATAACCCCCATGACCCCCTGTACGTCCTGGTGAGGTATGAGGGAGGATGGACAAAGGATGATGGATTTGTAGTGCTTTCAACCCCTTCAGTTTCCAGAGACCACTGTGGCCCCCAACAAAGACCGATAAAGACCAAACTTGGCACACAGAGCCCCCMTGACCCAATCTACTTCCTGCTGTGGTTTGGAGRAGGGTGGACCATGGATAATGGGACTTCAAGTACCTCCACTCATTTCCCGAGACCGCTGAGACTCTCATCCTATGACTGATCAAGACCAAACTTGGCACACATAACCCCCATGACCCCCTTTAGTTCCTGGTGAGGTTTGAGGGAGGACAGACAATGGATGATGGGATGTGTAGTACTTTCCAACCCTTCAATTTCCACAGAACACTGCGGCCCCCAACAAAGACTGATAAAAACCAAACTTGGCACATAGAGCCCCCATGACCTACTCTACATCCTGGTGCAGTTTAAGGAGGACAGAATACGGGTGATGGGACTTGCAGTACCTTAACTCAGTTTYGGAGACTACTGCGACCCTCATCCAATGACTGATCTAGACCAAACTTGGCACACAGAGCCCCCATGATCCACTCTACATCCTGTTGTGGTATGAAGGAGGATTCACCATGGATGATGGGACCTGCAGAACCTTCACACACTTCATGAGATCACTGTGACCCTAACCAATGACAGAGCAAGATCAAACTTGGCACACAGAGCCACCATAACCCACTCTACATCCATGTTTGGAGGAGGATGGACCATGCACTATGGGATTCGCAGTACCTTCACTAACTGATAACCGATAAAGAACACCTTTGCCACACAATGCCTTTCTCAAATAACCCGGGCAGTGCCAGGTCCCCAAGCTAGTATATAATAAAATAGAGGGAAAGGCCAACAATTGTAATCAGCCTTGGCCATTGGTGACACATAGCTGGAGTAATAGAATCATAAAATTATAGAGTTGGAAGAGACCTCATGGGCCATCCAGTCCAACCCCCTGCCAAGAAGCAGGAAAATCTCATTCAAAGCATCCCCAACAGATGGCCATTGGTGACATATAGCTGGAGTAATAGTTCATCAGTTCTGGAAAGCCACATGGGTACTCTATTGAGGCTCTTGTCTTTAAAACTATAATTGAATATGCAAATTAATGATCCCAGAGACCTTTATTTGACAGTAGAGTCCATTGATAGGTCAATCATAGTGCTTTAACTATGTGGCATGAAATGTGCCTTAAGCATAGAATCTTTCCTAGGAAGTTGGGGCATGAAGGAATCAGAATCGCCACTATTTCTCAATGAGGTAAAAACACTTTTAATTTCTAGTAAAAACGAAACAATGTACAAAGCAAACAAACACATCAAAAAGAATGTCAAATTAATAAATACAGAAGATGTGTCAGGGGAGGAGAGCAAGAGCAAGTATGTTGAGGTTGGTGTGTGTGTGTGTGGTGGAACAACAGGGAGCAGCAGTCAACCGTGGAGGCTTTGAGCCACTTCATGTCCGGCAGCAGAAGCTACAGCCCTTGTTCCTGCAGCAGTTGCAGCAGTAAGTGCAGATGGAGAGATGGGAGTTGTGGCGCTTGAGTCTCCGTAACAAACCCTGTGGTAGGAAATGAAGAGAGAGAAAAATGCTATTCATCGATATTCTGCTCTTCTCCGAATATGAAAGCTTGCATGATGCAGTGGTTTGGTTGTTGGACCCTGGAGACCAAGGTTGAAATCCTTGCTTGGCTATGGAGACCCACTGGGTGACCTTGAGAAAGTCACACTCTCTCAGGGCCCTTCCACACAGCCATATAACCTTGAATATTAAGGCAGATAAGCCACAATATCTGCTTTGAAAAGGGTTATCTTGAGTCCACACTGCCATATAATCCAGTACAATGTGGATTTTATACAGTTGTGTGGAAGGGGCCTCAGACTTAGAGGAAGGGAATAGAAACCCCATGATAGGATGACTTTAAGGTCTCATAAATAAGAAAGGACTTGAAGGCACATGACATTTCTCTCAGGCCCCTTCTACAGCACCATATAATCTAGATTATCATAGCAGACAATCTGCATTATCTGATTGGACCTGGGTTATATAAATCTACACTGCCATATAATCCAGATTATCAAAGCAGATAATCTGTATTATCTGATTAGAACTGGATTATATAAATCTACACTTCCATATAATCCAGATTATCAAAGTAGGCAATCCACATTATTTGATTGGAACTGGATTATATAAATCTACACTGCCATATAATCCAGTTCCAATCGGATAATCTGTATTTAAATGGCAGTGTAGAAGGGCCTTCCATTTCAAAAATATTCTTTTTTAAATATCTTGTTTAGTTAACAAAAAAAAGGAAATAGAGAAACAGAAACAGAGGGCATCCCTTATAGTAAGGGACACCGGGCAACACTATTAAAAGACAGCATCTGAAAAAGCATAGCATCCAAAGTGGGATGCTTTCTTGCGTTCATGCTGGAGTAACACAAGCAAGGATTGGAATCTGGGTCTCACCTGATGCAATCCAGAGGTTTCTGCCACTGGTTCTACCAAGGTGTCTGTGTCTTTCTGGACTTCTGACTGCAAAGAGGAAAAAAAAGATGCCATTTTACTTAGGTATTTAAAAAAACAACAACACTAGGGTGTGGTATGTTTTCCAAACATTCACAGAAAAGAAAACATCAAGTTCACACTCACCAAACTTGATAACATAGTTTTCAACTCTGGTTTCTTTGCTGCCTCTCATCACCACATTTCTCTACCCCAGTATATGAGTCTATACTGATCATATAACGCAGTGGTTCTCAACCTTCCTAATGCCCCAACCCCTTAAGACAGTTCCCCATGTTGTGGTGACCCCCCAACCATAACATTATTTTCATTGCTACTTCATAACTGTAATTTTGCTACTGATATGAATCCTCATGTAAATATCTGATATGCAGGATGTATTTTCATTCACTGGACCAAATTTGGCATAAATACCCAATTTTGTCATTTGGGACTTGTAGCTGCTGGGATTTATAGTTAACCTACAATCAAAGAGCATTCTGAACACCACCAAAAATGGGACTAAACCAATCTTGGCATACAGAACTCCCATGACCAACAAAAAATACTGGAAGGGCTTGGTGGGCATTGACCTTGAGTTTTGGAGTTGCAGTTCACCCCCATCCAGAGAGCACTGTGGACTCAAACAATGATAGATCTGAACCCCCATTACCAATAAAAATACTGGAGGGATTTGGGAGGAATTGGCTGTGATTTAGGGGAGATGTAGTTCACCTACATCTGGAGAGCACTGTGAACCCAAATTACTATGGATCTGGACCAAATTTGGCACAAATACCTGATAAGCCCAAATTTGAATACTGGTGCAGGTGGGGGGGGGGTTGATTTTGTCATGTGGGAGTTGTAGTTGCTGCCAAAGAGATTCCTAAGACAATCAGAAATATGTGTTTTCTGATGGGTCTTTGGGGACCCCTCTGAAACCCCCCTCGCAACTCCCCCAGGGGTCCTGACCCCCAGGTTAAGAAACGCTGCTCTACACAGTCACTTTACTTTGTCTTTCAAAGGGACACTGAAGAAAGGGTGGGAAAATGTGATGGCCTTCTGGATCAATTTTCTGTTCTGGGATGCTTCAGAGGCCACAAGTTTTATTGCTGTTTCAAACCCCTTTTTCTGGTGCTATCTAGAAGCAGTGATGCACCTATTTAAAAAGTGAATCACTGCTCCTGGATAGCACTCCTGCATGACATGTTACATCAATCCCCTAATTGCTAGCACATGAAACTTGAAGCTCAGGCCTCCAAAAAAATGGCAGGCAAAGTGACCGAGGAAATATAAACACAGCAAATGTGAGAGTTGCTGTAATGAATACTTTTCAGCATCTCTGCAATGCTAGCAACTAAGGACCAGAGGAAAACTATATTCGGTGGGGTAGAATTCATATAGGGAGGAAATGTTCTCATTTTGTTCCCCTGTAGCTACACTTCTGCTGCATACAAAGGGTGAGATGGCATGCCTTCTCCCCGGATTCCAAGTATAGAAGGGAACAGGGCTGGCAGCTCCATTTAACTCCAGTCCTGGTGACAAGAGAGTGTCCTCCATTTCACCTGACAGCAGTAGGCTATTTGTAAGTCCAGAACATGCTGGGTGGTTCTCTGACAGAGGGAGATATCTGTCTATATCACTGTTTCTCAACCTTCCTAATACCTTGACCCCTTAATACAGATCCTCATGTTGTGGTGACCCTCAGCCATAAAATTATTTTCGGTGCTACTTCTCAACTGTAA